CGACATGAGAGATCTAATTACAAGATACCAATATGTTGGTTTCATCCGTCCCCGCAACTTTTGAGGGGGCAATATGATTGACAAAGGGATAGCATGGTGTTCCGAACGAACATAAAGGACCGCACGACTTCAACGGCGGCGATGACGACGACGACGAAGATGGCGAAGGTACTCCCCCTCATGGCCATGAAGGCTCTGTCGAGCCCCAGATGATCCCTCCCCATTTCCAAGGCCAACATCCTTTCCAACACTTGAGGCACCATACTCCGTGCCCTTCGCCTCCCGTTAACGGGATGCCATTCGCACCTCGGGGCCACACACCGCAACCACAAATCGTGTCTAGGCCGTCGTCTCGAAATGATCCCCGCCGCGACCTGCGCGTCCCTCAGCCGGGACCTCCCCAGACTAACGGATACGCGTATATGCCTCAGCCAGCTATCTACAACCCGCAGAGCCAATCTAATTATCAGCACGGAATCCCGCCGCCAGCTCCAGCCCAATACCAATACAGCAATGCTCAACCGCTTGTCCAAGTCCAGCAGTATATGGAAGACCAGCGCCGATCGTCCGTACCTCCTAGCTATCCTCAGCAGGGACCTCCGCAGCCTCCGCGTCCTTCTCCGCCGCAGCCTACTCACCAGTTACCACCGCAGCAAGCTCCTCACACGTCTCCGCAACCACCCCCTCAGCATCTAGAGCCCCCGCAGCACCAGCACCAACACCAGCACGCGCTGGAACCGCAACAACCTCCTGCGCCCGTAGAACCGAAGCACGAGCCGCTCCAAGAGAGGTCCAGCCAGCCTCTATTAGATACTGTGTCCGCGATTAAGAAAATGCCGCCGCGTAAACAACAACATAGCATTTTCACTCCGATTGACGAGAACCGATCAATTTTGTCTCAGCATATGGCCTCATTCAACGCGGAACCCCGGACAAAGGATGATGGAAACCGGTCCCAGTCGGTAGACGTGGGGGCTGTTTCGCGACCCAAATCCGATTCATCCCCTCCTCTCCCCCAGCGCTCTAACACTTCTAATTTGAGCCATTCTCGCAACTCTATTCCTACAATTCCCGAGACCACATTCACCCCTCCTTCTCGCTCGAACAGCCTAAAAGTCGGCGGCGGAGCGCGCCCCCGTCTAAAGGTCCAGATCCCCGAGGAGCAGTCTGACAACGGCAGTACAGCTGGTGGTGATACGGCTACTTCACCCCGCACCACCACGGACACGACTACGCAAGTACCGCGCCGGAACGGCATAGAAGGCCCCGGAACTGGAGTAGTACTCCCCCCTCCTTCGCCATCAGCATCAGCTATGTTGTCTGCGGGAGCCACTGGGCCGCCAAATCCATTCGCTAGACCCCACCCTCAAACTCAGAACAATAGTATGAACATTGATACGCCCGTATCAGCGCTCCCATCAAGGTTCCTTAACAATGAGTTCTTGCCTAGTCCCAGCAGTTTCTATCCGGAATGGAACTTCCGGGGTACTGATAGTAACACACTTCCGAGTCCTCTGAATTTTGCTACGCCGGTGGTTGGTTCGGGTCCTTCCTTTCTGAGGGATGACAACGGACCGAGCACTACGAAGCGGAAGAGCCCGGATATAACGGCCGGCCATGGTTCGGACGGACCAGAAGGCGGTGAGCCCAAGAGAATAAGAGTTGACGGCTAGTGGCATACCGTCATGATACTATATATCCATCCCGATTCCGTTTAATTCGTATTTATATCGCGACTCGACTCGCAACTGTACAACATCTTAGAGAGCATCGATGGACGTTCATAACTGGATCTCGCGCTGAACTTCTGGATACCTCGTTTATTTTTTCCGCTTTCTACCTGGTATTTGCCAGTTTCGACTTCGACCTGTGGCGACTTCGCTCGTTTATGTTTGGCGCCATGCAACCACTTTTTGTTTCACTTCTACAGCATGGCGTGGCGCTCAGGGGCGTTTCATGGTCACTTTTGCAATTCATTGGATATGTTGATCCCTTTTACCAAAATCATTACAACCATACGACAATACAGTTTTACTCGCTGTTTTAGAGAGACGGACATGACGAATGAGTAATGGGAACTTGTGTGGTGTGTGTGAATTTGCCATCTTGATATCGCATTTTCTACGCGGGAAAAAGTTGGAGACGGGAAACTTGCGCGTGAGAGACGAAACATCGGGACGGCGTTGGGGCTGGTGGAAACTTGCAGCTTGTACACTATTACAGTTTGATTGATTTACCTTATTTAGGCTTGTTTGTTAGAGATACCAGCGGTGGATTGGGCATATGTTACCAGATCCTGAATGAAACTAGCATTGACCTTGATTCTTATCCCCCTCTCCCCCCTTTTTTTTGTTGTTGTTCTACTGTGATGTCTATTGCTACGCATGTAGGAAAATAGGCACAATGGTTCGAAAAATTCAGATAATGCTGATTATCCCATCTTGCTGATCTACCTCAACTAGCAAGGGCTCGATATTGCCAACTAAAATGCCTTAGATTAGATGAAGAGTCGGTAGATGTCAACCAATAAGAAGATATCGACACCGGAAATGCGGGATTCGAGAAGGTCGCTAACCTAGATGCTAAGGGTCGGCCATGACGTCGTGGCTTACCGGCGCGGGAGCTAGGGCTGACAGGGCTGGCAGGGCTGGCAGGGCTTGAATGTATATAAGTATCACCCTAGTCGGCGAGCTAAGTGACGGGCTGTGTCTGTTACGGACGTAAATATTAGGTACCTAACTTGCCGGTCTGCACTAGACGGGAAGAGGTGAGAAGCGGACTGGGCTGTAATCCAGTCAAGTTAGGGAATAGAGATGGGACGAAAGATAAATAACCCCCACCCCTTAACAACGATATTACTCCCGTATCATGCTGCGAATGTAGGTATATAATATCCGCACATATGCATGCATCACGAACGCCAAGTCGCCGAGTCCATGATAGCAAGCTAATAACTAGCCACTAAACTGTTATGCGGTCCTATCTGCGCTGTCTCAGACCTGCATTGCATGCTGTTGTCCTCACGGCCTAGGTAAGCTAGCTGAACAGAAAACTATGGTCTTAGGATGAATGTCGTGTACCCGGGGATCGAGCTATAGCGTCCGTGAGTGGGGAGGTAAGGCATAGCTTAGGTCATAGGGCTGATTAGCCAGGGCTGTTATGGATCGGGGTCGTGTTGTACCAGGCCAGCGGGCTACGTATGCGAATAAGCGCAGACGCGCGGCTCACAAAGAGCGAAGAGCGAACAAGATAGCGAGGTGGGATAGGATGAGACCGGTAAGAAGAAGGTCATATTGGTCTTTGTAATACGTACACCTTGGCGTAGATACGTAGATAGGTAGATAGGTAGATAGGTAGATGTATGTTTTACAAATAAGGAGTCAGGGGTAAGCAATCCACCTAACCTAGCTTGGCGACTCGATGATGCGGACTCTAAAACATATGCCTACCTATGATACTTAGCTAACAGACAAGTCACTTGTCTCATACAGCCACCCGGTGAACGATAGACGATTAGTAGATCGATCCGGTATGTGTCACCGGTGGCTGGTCTTAGCTTAGGATCTTGTCCTACTTGTCCACCGGTCGGTCGTGGCTTGCCCAGCTTACATATTTGCGCAAAGGACGGAAGATTATATCGTCCAATTTCCTCACGAGGCAGATAAGTAAGCCACCTAAGGTAAAAGTACGTAAGCAAGTAAGGGCTAAGCATATCAGATGGCTATATTTTGTATAAACCTTGCCAAGTCCGATCTCGAAGGCCGGGCCGGGCCGGGCCAGGCCGGGACCGTGAGACTAGGCTTTCGCTTATAGCCCTATTAATTTAGCAACAGACGTTGGCCTGTCGCGCAATTAATGTAATGTCGTGTGGTTAGTTACCTATTCAATACTTACTCTCAACCCCAGTGAATGTGTACGCACCGGGTTAAAAGCTAGAGGACAAAAATGATAAGTTAACATCTGAAATAGTTGGGTCGTAATTACTATCGATTATGCTGTACCTATCTCGCCTGTTCTATTGTTAACCTCCCTTACCTCTATCCCTCTAGGTATAATTATAATAGATTTAGGTGGAAGCCCTTTTATCAAATTAATCAACTTACGCACGCATACATCAAGTATTTGCAATATCACTATGAAATGATTCTATCAGAGAAAAGCTCTGTATCGGGTTCACACAATGTTTTTATTGAGATGATCCATATCTACCAGAAACGGTATTTAAAGTCCAGTTGCCTAACTCCCGAATTGAGCCTCTGGCCTCACCTTCGGATGCTGATCACATCTGGAGAGAAGATAATAATCTGCTAGTTAACTTTGGTGGCCTATTGCCTACACCGAAAAATCCAGCTGCCCAAAAAAGATTTGCCATCGAAGAAATCAACGAAGAAAAAAAAAAAAAAAACGCATCAGGTACCTCTTCAAACAAAGCACCAAGGTATCTTCCAAGCTCCTCCTCCCCTCTTCCTATTCCGCGCGCGAATGGGTATCTTCCACCCCTCGTCGTCTCATTACTCTTCACCTCGGAAGCTAGAAAAACAACCGAAAAGAATTAGTCCGCTGTAGTGCTTTGTAATTTTTCCGCGCCAGATGTAACAGCAACCCAAGAAAATCTCCGGTTCATAGCCAAGCTATGCGCTCTTACATCCAGGGTTACTGTCGCCTCGAAGCGACTTTGGTAAGAGACCGAATAGTTACTAATTTTGGAAAATTCCAACCGTATTTGCACGTTGAACGTCAAAGTTCGAATTAGTAAACCGAAATTCTCCCCGTCTGGTTCTGGCTGCGAAAGAAACATGGGATGGGCATGTTCTAATGGTATCATCGAAATAAGAAAAGTGCTTCATGCCAGATATTAATGAACAATCGGTCTTGGTGTGCCGAGTAGAACTAAAGCGAAGAGCGTGTCCGAAGAAAACTTCAGGCGTGCAGATGCAGGCGAATTCATGATGCAGATATCCGTTTGTATCGTAGCCAAGTCGTCATCTAAAACACCGCTTCTAGCGGCGACTGGAGGGAGTTACGGGACCGCTGGCACCCTCCATGTTACCTGTCAGCTCAGCGACACGAGCCTTAATACGGGCTACACGGGACTCGATTGCTGCTATACGTTAGCGGTTGAATTACTAGACACAAAAACAGGGTGCTTACTCTCTTCGCCACTGGTTTCGTCGCCATCGTCTGTCGTCTTACTGTGCGCACCCCGGCTCTGCTCTTCGCTTGGTCGAGTGACCCGTTCGGCGGCATTCTTTCTAATGGCGGCCCATCGGTCTTGCATAGGAACACTTGGTGATGGAGCTCCTGCATCATCGTCATCATCATCGTCATCCAGGGCAGGGTGGCGGCTAGAATGTCTGGCAATAGGTGGCGGCGCAGCAGAATCAACACTCTGATCATCATCGGGAATAAAGGCAGGCTGGTCTAGGAGAGGACCCTGATCGAAGCGAGAAAACTCGGTGTGAGCTTCTGCGGCATCGGCAGTATCGACACGAGATAGATTGTCGTCGATTGATGGTTCATATCCTTGTCCGGGACGTACCGGCGTTACTGGGGTTTGTGTCGGCGTCTTTTCTTCGGACCGTTCCACTAGAGCTTCGAGATCTGGAGATGCAACCGATTCTGGGGACATAGGCGGCCGAGCCGCCGGTGCCGGGGCCAGAGATTGCGCTGCTAGCATGCTATTCACATCTGCGGCGGCATTCTCCGGTAGCTTGGATTGACGATTCTTATTTCGGCCAAATAGCTTCTTAAAACCGCTGGACTTAGATTTTTTGTCTTCCTTGTGAAGTTTCTTGTGCTTCTTTCCATCAGGACTACTTGGTTCAGGGGAAAGCATAGTCTCGCGGGCTGCTTCTACGCTCTTCCCTTCACGCGGAGTAGGAGGCAAAGGCGAATCCCGACCTGTTTGTTCCGACCGCTGAGCGGGGTGAATCGGTTGCGGAGCCGCAAGCTTCTTTTCCGTAACCGGAGCAGGTTTGGGCGTCACTGGGGGTTTTGGCTCAGGTTCAGGCTGAGATTGAACTGAAATAGGAGACTGCGGCTGTTCCTGGACGTCCGGCTTAGGGCTACCGCCATTTGCCGTAAGCCCATTCGTTCCAGGAGGATGGCTAGGCATCTGAAGCGACGTTTGTGATACACCACGTCCAGCAAATGAATTGCCAAGATATGCTGCACGGATGGTTTCCTTGTCGTACTTGCTCGCCCATTTCATGGCCGGTGAAGCTACATTTACAACGCCTGGTTGCAGGGTGAGGATACTTTGAGTTTTTTCTCTCATCACCTCGGTATCCGTACGCCCGCGACGTTCCACCTTGGGGCTAGCTTGTTGCTCTTGAAGTTGCCTGGCCTGCAGTTTTTGCGCCGCTGCCTGGATCTTGGCTTGCTGGTCAGGTCCGATACTGGTCTTGCTCAGGCCAGCGCCGGCACCGCCACCAGGGTTCAGACGATCATTCTTATCGCTACTTGCCTTAGCAGTTGACTTGCTTCGGGAAATCCCTCTGTTACGCCTTGTCCAGCTGAAAAGGCCTTTCTTCTCTGCGATATACGCGCCGGCGTCGGGCTCCGGGGCTGCACCTTTAACCATCTCCTCTATCACGAGCCACCGGCCTTGACGGATAACTGTCTCGAGAACAGAACACCTACCAAATGCCGACTTACGTTCTGCAGTCTCTTCGGGCGCCAAGCTACTCATCCACACCCACCAGAACGCCTCGTCCAGGTCGAATCGACTGATACTGGCTAATTCACCAGGTTCCAGCTGACGATCGCTCTCTAGACGTGGACGGTGCGATTGGGCGCTACGCTGCCTGACAGTTGTCTCGATCGGGGGTAGAATCTTATCCGGGGGTAATAAGAGATTCGAGGGGCTGTTCGGCGCGTCATCGACGAAACCGGACGATAGGAAGTCAGCCCAAGAGGGAGTAGTTGGTCTACCAAGATTCGCGCCCGACGCGGGAGTAGTCCGTAGTCCACGGGGATTTCGAGCATGGCTAAATTTAAGCGAGTCTGAGTCTTCGTCCTCTTCCTCTAGGGCACCACCAAAGCCGATATCTTCGAATCGCGACCACGACGCATCTCGTAGGCCAGTAGAATGCTTCGAGCTAGAAACTTGAGACTGATTCGCAAGAGATATCGCCTTAAGAACTCTGCGGCACTCCTCGGTTAGGGCCTTCACAGGATCCTCATACTCAGAAAACTCTCGAAGAGCTTGGTCCTCATCGCGGTATTGGAAATGATTAGCACGGCGTAAAAGCGCAAACGGTGTGGACGACACAGCATCGACAATCATAACAACCCTGTACGTTGACGACATCAATAATGACGGCGCCTGCGGGGGATACTCGGTTTCCTGCAGTAACTTTTGCAAGGACATGGGGAGCATGGAAATACCTGCGCGAGCCTGCTGGGGTGATAAGGATCTTAGATAGGCAAAGAACAGATGGCTCGTCGCATCCGCAGCACTAGGATGTATTAGCGAACCGATCTTAAATTTCAGGGTCAAGGGTACGCAAACCTCAGCCATGATTTGTATCCTCCGTCAAAACCATTACCAGTATCTTTATGTTCGAAGGCCCACCAAGCTGCCATGCGAGATAGTTTACGACCGCCAAAACCGTTCGATTTACCATGAGCTGAGATAGCTGAGAGTAAATCGAAGTAGTCGAATATGATATGTGATCGTGCCTGGTTCTCGACGCTCAGCGGAATGAAAGTAGAGAAGGAATCGCGGGCCATATTCGAATCTAAATCATAAGTCAATAAGTCATTCCTTAGCATAATATTCCACACATGTACTAAATAGATAGGTCGTACCTTGCTCTCCAACTCTGAAAAGCTCGTAGGCATCCCAGCCCACAATGCCGCCTAGCAATCTGCTCCATACCCATTTTAGGACACCCGAAATAACCTGAGTTTGTTAATGAGAATTTCTTAAACTGGCGCATATTGTTCTAGTTGGCAAAACGTACCATAGGCTCAGTCATCCGTAGCTCCTGTGCGAGGGCATCACCGCGTAGGTTCTCATCATTGAAAAAGTGGCGGATGAAGGTGCGCACGGCGCTAGGATCAGAAGTCGGTCGAAATGGGAGAAGTAGAAAGGGAAGATCGAGAGCTACGCGTCGCGAACGGATTAGCCCATACTAGCTCAAGAAAGATATGATTATTCTGCTATTCGTACCCCTAGCTTTGACTTCCTCTGTGCAGCGTTTTACTAATTCTTGGACCTCCTCGGGTTCTACCGTCGTTCGCGTATATGCATCTTCCCAGCGCGGCTTGTTAGGCAATTGGTTTGCTAAATCAGCCAGATTACCGTTTTTCTTAGACTTGGGGCCATCTTTGCCCCTTATTCGAGAGAAGAGGCTCGGCATGGTGATTGGTAGGCCTGAGGTGCCCGTCTAGATGGGAAAAAATGTTTCCGTTCACAGCACCACGTAAATCTAAGTTCGAGAACGTTGGATATAGACAAGTGGGTATTTTGATAGTCGAATTATGACGCGGGCTAACGCATAAAATGTTTGTAGAGGAAGACTTGTCCGAGTTGCGCCAACAGAGTGGGGGTTGGGTATCAAGTAATATTATCGAACGGTATTTGCCAACGGAGCTCGACGTATTCGAACCAGGTATGTTTTGAGATATTCTTTACCGGTGGGAATAAAAAAAACCAGCTCCAGGGTATGAATCAATAAGAGGATACCACACCTCGACAGAAAGGGTAAAAAAAGAAAAAGAGTAACGAAAGATCAAACGATTAGAATTGAAGCGTTCACGAATATGCGTGAAGCGGCAAAACGAAGGGTATCAAGATGCACACATGGTAGAGTTCAAAAAAGTTCCAATCGCCAAGGGGAGAAAAATAATAATATTAAGGGGCGGTCCAAACTTCGACGAGGTTCCCATAAATGACGGATCAAGGAAGTCGTCCTCGCTACTCCCCCAAAATCTACCTTGATAGTATGTACACCCGCACCTCCAAGATTGGTAAATGTACATTAGCGCGCTTGCTTAGACTACCTATTCTGGGCATAGCGGCATTGAAGGAGATTATTTTAGCTCTTCTAGTGGTAGCCCACCAGGTAGGCGCCGCTAAGGTCCCGAGCTGTAATTGGATAGTCCAGTACGTGTCCAGCATGCGTGGAGAAGGTGCAGCAGGGGTTGCGTTGGCCAACGTGGTCAAGGCACCGTCAGATTTTCTGGGTTAAACAAGAACGTAAGTATCTAGAAGTTACTTTCCCGCCTAAGCCACAGTTGAGAATACTTTACAAGTTCGCACCCTTACTCAAGAACTCTAATTTAATTACAGGGCGGGAAGTGGTAATCAGGCGGCGCCCGGTCAGACTTTACCAAGTGTCTTTCCCCGAAAAAGCCATCGTCATTGGCGAAATGTAGCAACCCGAACCTAGAACCTAGACCACTTCTTTCAACCTCACATCCCACATGGAACTTATATCCATGTCATGAATCTACATACAGCACAGATACATACATCAAGTGGGCTTGCCCGCATCAAATGCTCACAGGTCCCGCTAAAGAGCCCTCGTCATAATTGGGTGGAGTTGCACCTATCTCTCTTCCGCCTAGGTGACCTGCGAACTTCCATGTTTGCCTCACTAGCACGAAAACCAGGACCGTAGTTTTCTGACTAGACCGGGTAAGTTACCAAGTCATTGGTAAATTAGCTGTCAGCTCAAACTCGAACCATCCCACATCGACTCAAACAGCAAGTGTTGTACCAAACCTATTTTGACGATAGCTTCACTTTCAGCGTACCTCCCGAGAAGCGTTTTCTGTTAAGGTCGCTATGGGCATCTATTATCGCAGCCGTGAAACGAAATACTACCTAGCCTGGGTTCGATCGGCAACAGCTCGATTCGTCTCCTGCAACGTGAGATTTGAACAGACGGGGTTGAGCATTATCGGAACACCATCGGCAGTTCTATTTCAAATGCCACCTCAGATGTCACTATAGACCGAATTCATCCAACGCATGGTTACCTAAACCTTCGTTTTCATCGTTTGAAGCTATATTTAATCTGGATTTGGTCCTGCCTGTAGCCGTTTTCGTGCTATGTAACACGTTATATGAGAACAAGAATATGAAGCATCGGAAAGATATTTTTCCTGGGTTACTATGTTCTGAGTTGTCGCCTTGACTATCACCGATCGCCGGGATAGATCATTTAGAACGAGGCGCCAAGATATTATCGTGTCCCTTTCCTCCCCGCCCAGATCATTCTCTAAAAGGGCGTCAACCTTGCATGAGCACAACTCATCACTCGGAATCCGAAGCCAATTAATTCACGAAACCCATTGGACCCAGTTCGGCCGGTCGCTTCTTATAGGCTAGGGTTTAGATGAGTTGGCAATTGTGGTGAGGTCACCCCTAACAGGAGAAGCCTGATTCGGAGAGTTAGCAGCGAGCTATTGGTACAGAAACGCTAATGCTATTGGATTGAGCGTGTCTTACATCGACCGCGACTTTTCGCGTCCAATAATTGCGCATTGGGCTTCCAAGGGGTTTCGTGCGAGACATTGGCTGGATACTACGTACATATTATGTTGCAATCTCCCTTTCCTCAAGCTATCCCTCCGTCAGGTTGTACGATTTCTCAGGTGAAAAAACTAATACAAAATTACGGCGAGGAGCGTGGGCTGCCAGGTCCTTGAAACTTAAGTCTGCTTTAAGCCTCTTGAGAAGCTGAGTCTTGAAAACGCCACTAACCAAGTTTGTACCTGTCGACAATTTATCTGAACAGTTCCGATGTACAACATACTTGTGCAGGTGTGTGGCTCGCCTTGCATAGAACGTTCAATGAATCTAGGGGACGAAGGGACCTGCATGACTAGCGTGGGATCTCGGGCTTATGCACATGTTATCTGGCAGTTATCTGGATATTATTCATGAAGCACTCCACAACCCACAACCACGATTATCCCAGCGGCCATACTTACACAACAGACACATTACATTCGCAAGAACCTACAAAAACAGCTAGCTGACTCACTACCTAGGTAGGTACCTATCTTGATACCTATAAAAGATTTTAAAAAAAAAATTTAAAACAAATAAATAATTAAAAGATCTAGCACTTATCTATCAGCGAAATTTTCGTTACAACAATCCCTAGAAAATAGAACAGACCGACTATGTACCTCGTTATGTACAACGGCGGCATGTAATGGTGGTCTATGGTGGGGTAGCAAGGTCTCCATTTCCGGTTCCCGAGACAATTCTTCAACAGCCTCGATCGAGCTTAATGCAGATGATGACATATCCGTTTAGATGAGCCTTGCAAAGCTAACCTTCACCAGGCTATGAAGCATCACAGCGAAACGTCGTCGCAGATCCCGTTATGCGCCAAGAGCTGTGGTGCTTTTGCCATACCCTCCATAGGTATCTCGGTTCCGATCTCAATCTCAGAGTGCGTTCAACGGATCCAGCATAATTATTACCATTTTATCTATAGTACTAGTGATGATTTCTGCGAATACTATCTTACTTACATAAGTTCATTGCAGTATTAGATGAAATTCGTTTTGAGAAGCGAACCCTTCATTTCGCTTCCAGGGTCGAGCGATTGTATGTTCCTAGATTAGACGGTGTTCTAGGTGGGTATTCGTCAAACCTATTACAATAAACATTTCCTTATCTTATTACACAATATCTTAGCTGACCGATTGTACTATTCCAACAAGAAGGATAGGCTCATTACTCGCGATGTTTTGAGTGCACTCGGTTGATAAGTCATTGTCGCTCGAGTAGGCGAAGAAACAGACGGCGATTATAACAATACCGACTATATATACTATACATGACGGACTAAGAACACGCTTAGCAACATCGCGGATGCAAAGCATATCATCTAACGAGGTACACACTTCATTCCTTAAACAAACTAGGTATTATTCACATGGACCGCCTCTGAACGACTTTTTCCTCAACCTATACAATGTCGATATACTACAAGCACACACCAGCCCAGGCATATGTAAACCACATAGAACGCCGACCAGTAACCATGTACGACCAGAAAAAAAGTATCTAGACGCTCCATATCCCTAAACCGCATAATGCGCAATTTATGAAAGTTGACTCACTTTGATTCAGCATCACTTCCCGTTAGTTTATCTTCTTTGCCCTCTTCACCCTCCTCCTGAAGGATTTTACTCTCCTCACCCTTCTCCTCATCCACTTTTCCTACAGCTACAACAGGCGGCGAAACTTCTTTTTTCGCTTCCTCTGGTTTCTTCTCGCATGGATTAAGATTCCAATCGATAACGCCGTCCGCACCATATCTATTCGCAAGCCACTCATTAGCCTGCTTGAAATGTCCGCAGTCGTAGAACCCCCTTGACGCGCTCAGCGGGCTCGGGTGCACACTTTTCAGCACAAGGTGGCGCTTGGTATCAACTTTAGTAACTCGCTTCGCGGCGGGGATGCCCCAGGCTAGGAATACAACACCATGAGTACGCTTCTGCGCCACCAAGTCAATGACTTTCTGCGTGAAGCGCTCCCAGCCACGGTTCGCGTGGGAGTTAGCCTCGTGCGCGCGCACAGTAAGACATGTATTGATCATGAGAACACCGCGCTCCGCCCAGGGGGTTAACAGACCACCACCGTTGGGCGGGGGCACGAAATCCGGGTAGTCCTTCTTCAACGCGATGTACATGTTTTTGAGAGAAGGGGGAGCCTTGGTTGGAGGGCGGACGGAAAAGGCTAGACCGTGCGCTTGGTTGACATTGTGATAGGGGTCTTGACCTAGGATCACGCACTTGACTGTGTTGAAGGGTGTGTGGCGAGACCTGAGAGGGTGATGTTAATTCAAGTCTCTATCGAGTATGTAGCACTCTAGGATGGAGGTAGGTAAGAGCATAAGAAGACGAGATGCAACATTGACATACCATGAGTAGACATCTTCCCTAGGTGGGAACACCTTCTTATTGGCCTTAACCTCGCTCTCGAGGAACTTCTTGAGCTCGATGAAATCGGGAGATGTAATCTCTTCTCTGAGGTGAACCAGCCAGCTGGGATCCAAGGTCTGGATCTCAAGCTGGAGGTGGCGCTTCTGCTCTAGCGTTAGGCCCGCGACCCACTTGTCCTTGTCGAATTTGAGGGGCGCCGATTCGGGGCCCGCACCAAATTTCGCGGGGGACGAGGCGGGCGAGCTCTTAGGTGCACCGAAGAACGATGTTATGCTCGCGTTCACCTTGGGCTTCTTATTGGCGTCGCCGGATGTGAGACCTTCGCTCTTACGCTTTGTGGAAGACATTGTATAAGTTGCTGTAGGTTTGAATACACTAAGGGTTTGTAAGTGTAAGTATAAGTGTATGTATAGACGAGGTCGAGGCCGAGTTAATAGGCGACCTATATCCCAAGTCGGAAGGTGTCTTAAATGACGTAGACACGGCACGGTGAATGCTTTTCCTCAAAAATGTATCAATTCAAAATAATTCTTAGGCAAATGAATTGTAACTCGGAATTCTGGCGATTTAGCCAAATTAGACGTGCAGGCGGAAAATAAAGTAAGCAATTGAATTGTAAAAAAGTTGATAGTAGAAAGGTCCAAGATTCTGTGTTAAATGGGGATTCAAGTCTCGACGCGTCTCCAAGACGCGAAACCCCTTTTAGCACTAAACGCGACTTTCTACGCGCGTAAAGTGGCTTGTGCGATTACGATGCGCAAGGTTCAGGGCCTCAAAATGTCCTAGAAATGATGTGTAATAAAGGAAACAGAGGTCCAAGCACAATCTACGTAATTCATAATGATCGTCAGAATTATCATCGTATTAATTCGTCTAAAAAGCTCATCAAGAGCTTGGGTGTCGAGTTGTGATGATACATTGCCTCTTTGCTTTCTTTTGCTTTTTTCTTCTTTTTCCCTCTAATTTCCGTAACATAATATACAAATCATCATTAAGGGTCGTTCCGATTTATGCAGTCGTCTCTTAAATGAGCATCGCGTGATTAAACCAAACCGTCCAACCGTCCCTAATTTTTGGTCCCGGTCCCTTTTGGTCTCTAAGCAAGGTATCGTAACTCTAATCAACGCCTGCTAATGCAAATCCAGAAATGAGGGGAGAGGGGTGATGCTACATGTCAAGGCTTGTCAGCCCGACCTTCGTGCTGCTTCTGAGCTTTGTGTTCGTTTATACTCCTAAACGCCCTTTTACCAACCTCGTAGCTGCTGATCATGATAGCGCAAGACGGCGCAACTTTGAGCGTACGAGGCAGCCATCCTCTCCAGAGTCCAGCCAGTCCTTCCGTTGAATAAATATGCGAGAGGAGACGAAGCATATGTTGAGCTTCCGGTTCTATGGCCTTTTCCACTGCAGGCAGAGCCTTATTCGACGTGTCCTGATAAACCTGCCGTCGGGTTTTACCTACATCGAATGGCATCGTTATTGTTGATGCGAAGGCACCGGAAAGACAACCAGCAGTAAAACTGTCCATGAAAGTAGCTGCGTGGCTCTCTCTACTCTGTGACCTAGTTCTCCGCCGCGCTCTTGAACTGTCATTCCCTCGAGTCGAATGCCTACCACGTCGTCCTTCTCGCGCATCGGTAAGCTTACCTCTGATCGTCTCGTAGCCAAACCAATACATGGCCGAAAAGGGGACGTCTCGCCAGAGAGTTAAAGTTAAACCTCTCCAAAGAGAGCTATAACCCTTGTCGGCTACCATCTCTCGGAGTCCCTTGAAAGTATTTGCTAAATGGCCAGCTGCGGTCGAGCCTGGTGATGCTTGTAGTCGGGTTCGGAATAGGTCGATCGGGCTGACCGCAGCAACTGCAACAACTCGTGCGGATGCGCCGGCTACCATGGGCGCATATTCTTCCCTAGTCATTTTGCTGACAGGGCTTGTCTTGCTATATCGTAGCCAATCATAACCGGTGAAATAGATGATGTTCGCGGGCACGGTCATAGCTAACGTCGGCGATAAACCTCTCCATAACGTCGTGAGGCCCTCATGGCGGGCAATTTTCTTCATACCGTCAAAAGTCGAGTTAAATCGCCTCTTCTGTACCTCCTCCACGGCGCATTCCCCAGAAGCAGATACGCTCTCAATCGGTCCGGCGACGCATACTTCGGCATTGTTATTCATAAAGAACACTTCTCGACAACACGCTGTAACTCCAAGGTTCGATGGCCGAAAAGCATTGGGTGACGAAATTGCAAGTCTCTGGAAGTCTGCAATGGATGACGACGAACCTTGCGATTGCAGTCGGACACGGACGACATCTAGAGGAGTAACTGTACAGAATAATATCAGCTTATAGCCCTGTAGCTAAGATAACGTAGAAAAAAAGGCTTACCTAGAAGCGATGTAAGAAGACTACCAGTAATAGCAGAAAGCATCTTCTGCCCCGCCGAGATATCTATCCCGTCGTTGCCGTCATCTTTGGACGAAATCATCGTTTGTCCCGCAAAAGCGTCTTCGCCTCCTCCTAATCGGTCATGGTTGTGGCCAGCGAAGCTATGACTAGATGCCATTTTTTATATGCGCTGGCCCCGGTTGTGCCGGGGGCGCCCTTTATGACAGCTCAATCTATTGTAGAAAGAGAAAGGACGGCACAATATTATGGTGAGTGAATAGGTTGTAAAGGTATTGTACTACTATGTAGAAATTTTTACGTAGGTATTTCGTTGTAAATTGTGAGTGGCCAGATTAGGGGAGGCGAAGAATATCTGCGATATCGCGGGAAGGCGGTTTTCTTCGCGTCATTAATACATAAGAACAAAATAGCGAGACTAATCTCTTTAAAGAGAATTTACCGGTCCCAGGCCGAGCCCGAGCTAGGTACTCCAAACCGACGCAGCGGAAATCGAGAACCGCTCTCGATAAATGTAACGCACGGACCCTTATCGTCTTATCCATGATGTCAAAACCAATCGGATTGTCTTGAGCTAGCGATTAGGCTGACCCACTGCCCACTAGGACCCCTCTATGTACGGAATACATAGAGCTATGTATGACTATCATTCGGCGATAAGATGGATTTAGATAATGCATCCCGCGCAGCTCTAGCCCGTCACGCCGGAGCACCTCATTGTACCTCAACCTTACAAGAGGCCGACTTTTAACTTCATCCGATATTCCGCGAATCACCTCAAAATCCTCATACTCACTAGATACATAATCATTCTCTAATATCCACATAAAAAGTATTTACGATACGCCAGATTTTACTCTAATTACCGGTTTTAATTAAGTACTGTACATTAAAATTCATCTTCATAGAATTGTGACCATAGTTTGCCAGTATGGACCAACCGACCCAGCAGATACAATCTGAGCTAGAGAGCTTTAGAGAACAATGGCGAGCCGAAGTCTCGGCTCGATCAAGAAATACTGCTAGCTCTCAACAGCAGCAGAGGACAGCCTCTAATCAACCGGGATCCTCTTCAACTATAACAACCAATAGGCCTCCGAGGAGAAATGAATTTACGCATAGAAAATCAACTTCAAAGACTATCCAACAAGTAGAAGATGAGGATGAATACTATCAACCCCAGCATTTCGATGAGCCAGATACCAGTAAACCCGTAACAGGTCAGAAGCTCGGCCGTCACGATGGAGACTCTACTAAGGATAGAGATCAAGAGCCCCAGACCGCCTTAGACTTCTACGAAAAAGCCGTCGAGAGGGAGACGACCGGTAAACTTGGCGATAGTCTACAACTCTATCGAAAGGCCTTCCGCATGGACGATAATGTCGACCAGTCCTACCGTAATAAGCACTTCCCAGGCCGTTGGATAAAGCCAGGCCAGATCAACCCATCTAACGCTCCCGTAACCGTTCCCAACACCGCCCATCACTCCCTAGATGATGGAACACCCGCATTGTCCCTACCTGACCTCATCACAAGCTTCTCTAATCTCAAAATCGAGGGAGCACCACCAGAATGCGAAGGCGTAACAGCGCCTCCATGCCCCATTTCTATGCTGCCCGACGAGATCCTCGTTCATATCTTGCGAGACGTCGCGGTCGCAGATGTGGGTGATTTCGTGCGTCTAGCCCGGGTCTGTAAGAGGTTAGCTTACTTGGTAGCTACCGAGGATCAAATCTGGCGACGGGTCTGCTTGGGTCCCGAATTTGGTTTCGGCGGGATGCACTACCATTGGCAAAGGGGTATCAGCTGGGAGCCTCTAGGCATAACACAGGAACTCGCCGACTCTAATGACGTATTTACTCTAGAGGAACTGGCACGTCAGCGACAGGAGGAGAGTCGAGCAACAACTAACCTATTACTTCTTGGACCCTACGCATCATCCTGGAAGACAATGTTCCGGCGGCGCCCAAGGGTGCGATTCAATGGGTGTTACATCAGCACGGTGAACTATATCCGCCCAGGACAGGCATCAGCGCACCAGGTTACGTGGAATAGTCCTGTTCACATCGTAACCTACTATCGGTATCTGCGGCTGTTCCGCGACGGCACCGCCATCAGCCTACTGACCACCGACGAGCCCGCTCATGTCGTGCATCACCTTACACGAGATAATGTGGCCTTGCACCGCGGTGGCTCTGGGCCCCATTACCTGCCCTCCGCCGTCATGGGCTCCGCGCTAAAAGGGCGTTGGCGCTTATCCTCGTCAGCGGATAAGAATAACGACAGCATCAATAATACTAATACAGGAATGGCTCTAGTCGACGCGGAAGGTGACCTGTACGTCGAGACAGAGGGTGTGGGGAAGTACATGTACCGCATGGAACTTACGTTCCGGGGCACAGGCAAGGCGGCAGTCATAAATAGAAATAACAATAACAGGTTAACGTGGAAGGGTTTCTGGAGCTACAACAAGCAAACAGATGACTGGGCAGAGTTCCCGCTCAAGAATGGAAAACCCTTCTTCTTCAGCCGGGTTAGGAGTTACGGGATCGGCGAGTAGGCAGTAGATAGGGAGGTATAGCATCATAGGCATTCGTACATATCACGGCAATAGAGCAAGGGCATAAGGAGGTAACATCAAAGTATGCATGCTATGTCATTCGACTAAAGCTTGACTTCTAAGAAATCTTCGATGGAACTAACTAATATTAGTACCTAGTCAACATGAATGACCAATATGGTCGTCTCCAGAACGAAAATAACCAGATCCGCAACAATAACACTCCTATAATCATACTATAGGGGTATTGCCGGGGACTTTGGCAGGAACCCCATCCCCTCCATTCACTTCATCTTCATCTTCATCTTCGTCATCTGAAATGACTATGAACTGCTTGGAGCGTGCGGGCCGAAGTTGTGCGGTATAGCCGCGTGCGGATACGGGAGGGGGCATACGGGGGGTTCTCCGTGATGCTAAAAGTAAATATAGTGTTAGTAAGAGATTAAGGTATTGGGTTAATATAAAAGTAAGATTAACTTACACTTCCGGGCGCGCTCCTGGGATTTCAGGGCACTCGCAGGTCGCTTGCGAACCTGGGGTATCGCAGCATCTAACTGCTTCTTAGTCTCGTCTTTGCTTCCATTACCGGCAAGCTGCTTCTTCATGGCGGCTGTGATGGCCTCCATGTTGTTGTCGACGAGTTCACCGAATGCCTGAATCATCTCTTGTTTGAATTTATCGGCAATCCCAGAGGCGTCGTCTTCGCCAACATCGGCCATATTTCCAATATTGATGACCATCTGCTTGAATCGGTTATGGCTTTTGGCCATCATATCTTTGATGATGGCCTCCAGCTTCTCGTTGCTTGCCATATTGTACTCGGAGTGGAACAAGATGTAGATACGTGTCGTCGAAGAGTAATAATCTAGAAGGAAGAAGTACCGTGTGATGTTCAATGATGGGGATCTAAAAACAGAGCCAAGATAGAGCTTTCAAATAAGGCTTTCGATGAACAAGACTAGTGTGCATGTAAAGGAGAATGAAAAGTGACGGTGGGAGAAATGCCGTGTAACATTCGATAGTGAAATTCTAGAAGACAACGAGGTGTATGTTACTGGAGTGTAACTTTGAAAATAAAATTTTCTAGGAGCAGGTCGTGTACGCAAAAGCTGCGTGATGCTCAAGGCCGTAGGGGGGAAAGGTGTGGGACTTGTCTTGCTAGGGTGGAGTTTCGAAAATAAGAATCCTAAGAGATTGAGTACGTGCGGACGTAACAGGAAACAAAATACTGCTGCTGCGTAGTCCTTAACGATGAAGATCTTGAAGGAAAAGAGTGGGAGTTGGTTTCGTTAACATGGAGTTTCGAGGATAATAATTATAGGAAATAGGGCGTCAGGTATGCACGCAGAGGGAAAGAAGACGCCAAGGTTTTGTGATGTTCAAAGTTGGAAACCTAGAAGGAGGTGGCAGGTAATTAGGGTTAATTTTGGAAGAACTGTGGGGGATACTTCAGCTATGTACGCAAAGCAGGATGATACAATGTCCTAGCATGTACATGTGACATAACTGGTAGGTATGTCGGCGACGTCTTTCTCGACCGCTTGGTCCAGACGCCAGGAAGGTCAAGACGGCCGAGACGATCGAGACGAGTCATATTTACCAACCCTTAGGCTATGGGATACTCTAATAATTCAGAACATACATACGGAGATGTCTTGGATATCGAGGTAGTTCATGGTAAGCAAGGTCCGTATATACCAGAGGTAGGAGTGCTAAACGATTAGAGGCGGACAAGCCCTGTGAAAATAGTAACATCCTAGCATTACCGTTGTCTAAATTCGGATAATATAGGAAATCCTTTGACGCCCGGTATAAGGTAGAAAGCGGAAGCAGCTTCTAGTATAGAAACGTATGACGATAGTAATAGGGGAGGCTAGGAAGGGAAACGCTCACTAAAGGGCAAGCTTGCCATTAGTTCTGTTTATTGCTAATATGAAAGGGAAACCCAGGTTTTCTACCATAAACAACATAATAAAATAAACGTTACGTTTATCTAATTCAATACGAGCAAGAGGTGAATATTCTGACCCTTTAAGAGAATGAGTACAAAAGAGGCAATATACATACCTTATAATCGTCTATGGCATTAGACTGTGGTTTGAGGTCACTGATGAAGTTTTGGCGCAGATGATGTAACACGGATCTTGGACTTAATTTTGTTGCATAAAACAATCTTATAAGTAAAGGGTAACTTAGCACGAAACTGAGTAACTAACCAGTGTGTATGAACCGTTTTAGAAAATTTTGTTAGAAACGTTTTCCTGTAAGAAGATATGTTAATATATCAACTATAGGTGGAATATATTGAGTAATATTAATATAAGCGCATTAAAGCGCTATTCAAGTGGTAATCGAAGCCAAACATAAGGGTACGAGACAAACTTGATAGTTCTTGCTCATTAAGATTTTCTTGCCTTCTTAAATAGAACATTGTGTGAGTTTACCACATGAAAAACCCCAGCAGAAAGTTAATTTGCCATTCTACTTTCTTATCGAGTCAAGTACCAACTAGGTGGGTTTGAATTAATAGTATAGTTCATAGATACCTAGGTATAGTTATACTTATTTAAAGGCACTTGGGAGTTTGCTTTTATCCGCAATGAAATGTTATCTCTAAAAGTTCAAGGATATTGTAGTGCTCTTTATTGATAGCTTTGGCTTGTTAAAAGCTTAATGTTATTTACCTGTTTAGAGGCAATTAGTCATTTTGAGGTGCATGAGATCTAGATGTATAACAATGTTGATTAAGGAACTAGAAGCGACCTCCGCCACCTGTAGTTTAGAGATCGCTTAATACAGTAGCTCAGCTAGTTATGGGATACAATGAGCTAAGTTACTGAGGCTAGTTACGTGGCACTTTACATATTTGAAGATACTATGGTCTTGATACCATTTGCTAGGCTGATTATTCTAAATAACTATACATTATAAGACCTATTTAAACTTTTGATCAAAGTGTAATAAATTGTGGTTTGAAAGGTGCTTAGATATGATGGCTACGTAAAGTCTTTATTGCTTCTCATCTCAAAGTATTTAAATATGTTTAAATAAAGTATAAGATAAGATACGTCTTGTAATTTGGGATATAATTTTATAGATTCCTACCTTCTTATACCAAAGAATAGCTCTTATACGTTATTCAAATCATAACTTTTATTGCTCTCAAGCTGAAATGTGCAACCTCGTCATATTATAGCAGTATTTTCCCAAGTCCTAAAATCTCTTACTCTAGTACGCAATCACCAATGCTATAAAACAGGAGTGACCTAGCTATGCAATAAGTGCGATGCGTAAGATATATAAAATTCGACCTCTTCGTAGTGAAATCTACCCAACCCTGCACCTTTATTTCCTCATTAAGACATCCTAATCTTGGGGATCGCCACCTATCATTGGATTATAGTACGGGTCTATACCCGGCATGGCTGAGTTGAAAAGATCCATGATATCGGTGCCGAGAGGGACTTCGTCGTCCACTTCAAAATACCCGTCATTAATTGGGAAAAATAAAGCATCGTCGATTGGTAAGGATGCATCGAAAAGAAGATTTTCTGGTACCTGTTCACTATTAATTGCGGACAGGTTAGGTGTTAAATAGGGGTCAGTACCCACTTGTGCTGACTCGACATTTGGAGATAGGTCTAATACATGAGAGATGCTGTTTTCACGAGGTGGTTGCCCTGGTCTGCCAAGAGATCTCGAGGTACCGGTTGGCGATTTCGTCAATATGTGTGGCTGTTTGTCAACAATCTGATTCGATATGCCCTCTCTCTTTATGGTATTTACATACTCGCGGGCAATATGTGCAAACTCGCCAATCAAAGAACCAGGGAGGCCACCGCCGCTCGCATACTCAAGCCTACTAAAGTGGCCGCCACCCATGTCAAGAAGAGCGAGATTTGTTGCCGTCTCGGCGTGTTTTGGGTTTGTAACTACTAGGTCGAATAGTACGAAGAGAGCGACAATTGGAATACCAGCTAGTATCCTATTATCAAGGAGTTAGCTAGGAGGAATATAAAAGTCCGATTTGTCTAACTTACCATAGTGGCGTGTTTGGTTCCACGTCAATGAAAGCCGTCAATTCTAACACGGACCGCGATGTCTCCATCATGTTTCTCGTGCTCTCAGCTTGGCGGGCCTGATTTACAACATGACTAGTATTTGCAGCCAAGTACAGCGTCGCTCGGCAAAGACTCAATTTAAAACTGTTGTAGAGTAAATGGACTCCAAGAGCAGTTGCTCGAAGCAATATGCCCTGTAACGTGTGCGTCCGGTACGGTTCACTCGGTCGAATATTAGCTGGTATCGACATCCGCCATTCCTCTAGCTCGGACTCGCATTGGTCGATTATAGCTAGGTAATAAGTTTTTGGGTTCTCCGTACCGGAAATAGAGAACAGAGACGTCATAGCTTTTGACAGCAAACGCGCGTATCTCGCAGTTGTGAGAAACCAGTCGAGCTCCCCTACAATCGCGTCGGGCACGGATGGGATTGGGATCACGATATCATGATCAACGAATATCTGCAGCCGTTGGTTTTGCGTTAGAGTACCTGTTCTTCGTATTTGGATAAGGGAGTATGGCAATGCGGGATCGACATACAGAATTCCTCCCAAAATGAAAATTAATTATCTTCTCAACGGTATAAAGAAGCCAAAATGCCCTATGGTACGCAACTCTCGCCTTGCCCCTTAAATTGGCGCGCCCAAGATTCTGTGCTCTCCTTGCAGCTTCAGACAATATGAAGTGCTCTATTGCTATACATGATATGCTGCAACATCTAGAGTCAGCGGCAAACGCCCAGGGTGGTTCTGATAGCGACATATCTATGACGCCAATGCTACGAGCCGAGTCACACACCTGAGGGAATATATAGTCAAGGCAGTCATTGCCTGGAGAACATCTAGAGAATCTGGCAGTGAAAAGAGGTCCGGCAGGACGGCGAGTGCCTTTGTCATATACTGCCAGGCCCTCCCCTTACCCGGTTCGAATTTTCCTCCGCTCCCAGCTTGGCATCCCAGGGCGACGACCGCGTTATATAGAGCGTATAGAGCTTTACTATGCGCTAGACGGTCAGCGAAATAAGGGGCGTGAGCCATAGCTTCGAAATCTTTTTGGTCGAGGAAGGGGTAGATGGGATGGATCCGCTCAAAGTATACTATTGGTGAGTTAGTTAGACAGACTGCATCAACGAACTAGAGATTAAGGAAAATAACATTTGATATGGGCATTTGCCTCGGCCGTATCAGGAAGTGCGAGAGTATCTCTCTGATCCCCTCTTATACTACACATAGAACCCGGAGTCGCAACATTGGCTATAAATGCAAGTTAGCTTCTCTAACGAGTTGTTTGAGCCGCTACCTACACTTACCATGATGCTGCAGTCGAGAAGCAATCACAGAAGATATTCTCTGGACTAACCGGTTTACTTTATCATTCCTCAAGCGAGAAGATAAGTATGACAATCGATTGTCAGAAAAGAAAGTCAAGCTAGCGTTTCCAACTGGGTTGAGTACTATTAGCAACTTATCAACTTAGTAGGAGTGGTCACAACGTGCTGACTAGTCCGATCCCCTGGTGCATTTAGTAGAGTAGTTTGTACAATAGGGGTTAAAGAAGGGTGTACTTTAACTGCGAATGGTTTTTCGTTTCCGAGAGCTCTGGCCGTTCCGGCTGTGGCTAGTATACGATCGACGTACAGTTCTGGCAGAGGTCGCCGAGTCTTTAGTATAAGTCAATCCCGATTCTATCAAGGGTCGTTATATTGGGGTAAGACTTTACGTTTTCAGCGACTCGAGGCGCACTTAGCTTAGGCTGGGTTTTTGGTGGCGCAGGAGATGTGAGGGCGATATTTACTATTATCAACCTTAATAAACCATAAAACCCCCAAGGAGTCTTTTATATTAATAGTATTCTACTTACCATTTCGTCTTTGGGGCATTTTCCTACGACTGAAATGGCACTGCGCCATCCGGCGCTTCGCGGGGCATTAGCAAAGAAGACATCATGGTTGAACTACTTACAACGCAGTGATTACAAGGGCCGGGGTACCCTGTGAATTGACTTGAGCCTCAAGTTACCAATGTCACGACAATGGTTATTAATTTATACATGTTAGAGGCTTACCATTACATCGCACTTTTCGTGCCTTGCACGAGTCGCAACTCTTCAATATCTCCATCACGGGACTTCCTTCTAGACAAAATCCCCGCTCTAATCTATTTCAAGGGGGCAAATAGGACGATACTTGAATAATAGTGAGAAAAGAGAGAGTCGAGACGCGAAGCGTGGAAAAGAGATGCTGTTCTGAGCCCCGAACGAGACTAACTGTATCAAGAAACTCGGCTCCGAATATTAAGACCCACAGCCGTCATACTATTTGCCGGAGTCTTAAAGCCGTACAACTACTCAGATCACAACAAGACATAACTATGAAGTCTTACATAGTTAGTTGTTCTATAAACCCAGTTGATAGTAATAGACCTATGGATCTCTCCATTTATTATAATTCTCCATATGTATAACTTTTCATTATACACGGGCGCCGCGATTCTTTTATCTTATGTAGGGGTTACTCGCTAGGGCCATGCAACCATTATTCTCCAAAACCATCTACGGTAAGATGATTCTGGTAAGATATAATTAATTCACAAATATCCTGTCTAATTTCTAGCCCTGTTAGCCAAGTGTTGGGAGAGTCCGCATATGATGTGGCTATGCACTATCCTGGCGGCCAGGGTATAGGATTAAAAGAAGGATCTTCATGCTAGAACATGCGCATGGCCTACGAAGCTCATTTAAGCTTAACATTTAAAGGTCGCGATGGCGCCGTGTATTATATGCCCTCTTAATACCAGGAAGTTGTTACTATTTGGCCAAGAGGATTCACGATTGGTAAATGCCCTATCTTTCGCGATGCGGTGGATACTTGAACTGGCTGTTGGCGTATTTCTGGCTGCGTCAGCAATCGCCAGCCCAATTTCGCCAAGCACTGCGAACAAACGATACTTCGAGGAGCAGGATGGGATCAAATACAATGTTTTCGAGCACAGCGCCACGAAGTCTAGATTATCGTTTGTCAATAACTCGGGCATCTGCGAAACAACACCGGGTGTTAATCAGTACTCTGGGTACATCTCGGTGGGTGATGGCATGAACATGTGGTTCTGGTAGGTTAACACGATACAGGCCTCAGCGTTGAGGGAATGGAGTTGACACATCCTTGAAGGTTCTTCGAAGCTCGCAAGAATCCTCGACAGGCACCACTTGTAGCATATTTCGAGGGTGGGCCGGGGGACGCATCTGAATATGGACTTTTCACCCAAAATGGGCCTTGTCATTTTGTCAATAACGAAACATTACCGTCTTTGAACCCGTACAGTTTCAATAGTTACGCCAACATGCTCTACATCGACCAGCCAATAGGTGTCGGGTTCTCATATGGTACCGCCATTGTCAATTCGACTAAAGCGGCTGCTCCTCTAGTCTGGAATCTACTTCAAGCCTTTTACAGCAGCTTTCCCGAATATGAAAATCGCGACTTTGGTATCTTCACCGAGTCATACGGTGGTCATTATGGACCCGAGTTCGCGAGCTATATCTTGGGCCAGAACGTCGCAATTTCTCGAGGCGATCTTCATGCCGAAGAGATCCGCTTAGTAGCCCTGGGTGTCAGCAACGGATGGTTCGATGCTACTATTCAAGAAAAGGCTAACATCGAGTACTTGTACAACAATTCGTACAGACAGCTCATTAATGAGACCTTCTATAAAGAGCTTCTAACGCGGTACGACACAAAATGCAAGCCTACGCTTGATCGATGTACAGATGTCGGTACGACTGATGCTTGTTTTGCTGCATGGAAGTCATATATGGATGAGATCGAATATCCAATAATTGGCGTTCTAAATAAAGACCATCCAGGATTCTATCTCGGCGACATTCGCGACCCATCATTTCGAGCCCCTTCGACACATGTTGCATACTTACAAAGACTTGACGTACAGGAAGCTCTTGGGGCAAAGGCAAACTATTCGGAGCAGGCCGGGGCCGCAGGTTTCATCTATTCAGGTGACGGTATAACTATCCATTTTCATACATACTACGTGAGGTACTGATAAGAGTGGTAGATGCACGTTCATTCATGACCCAACTCTCGGCTGTCGTGCAAGCAGGTGTCAGGGTGGTGGTTTGGACAGGTGATGCTGACTACGTCTCTAATTGGCCCGGGACTCTAAGAGTGGCAGATTCAATTGAGTGGCCCGGAAAGAAGACGTTCGCGAACCAGGACATGACACCATACACTCTCAACGGTACGCAAAAGGGAGTATTCAAGTCTCTCGATAATTTAACTTTCATGCGTATCTTTGAAGCAGGGCATAATGTGCCGTTCTATCGTACGTTTGGATTAACTAGACCCGAACCCGACTGACAATAGTATAAAATGCTAACTTGAATATAGAACCGGAAGCTTCACTACAGATATTTGAACAAACTATGAAGACAAGCGGCATAATTCCTACTTAGGGTTCTGAGTATCTTAATTTTCTTTCGGGAAGGAGTATCGTGCAGAACTAACGTATGTGTATTCAAATACTTAATATACAATACCATCATGTCGGCTGTAGCCTACGGCTACTGACCTACGCCTTGCTCAAAGACTTCCGCGGAATGTTCCAAGTCTTGGCTAAAAAACCCCGTTGATTGTCTATGTGACATAGTGTCATCGAAGCGTCTTATTGGATAGACTAAAGTAAAGCTGCATATTCGAGTCTCACGGCTTAGCCGCAGTCTCACTTGTTTAACGATGCTACTCTGCTACTGGCACAGTCTGCATAGTTAGGCAGACTAGTCAGCACTGCCGCCTTGTAACGAGCTACTTATCACAGAATGCCTGTAGCCTGCATAGCTAGGTACCTAGTTAAGTACCGATGTAAGGCTATAATGCGTTGAAAGATATAAATTAGTTAATCTCCCGCCGAAGCATTTCCCACTCCCTTTCACGTTCTATCTTTCTAATATCTCAAACTCTTTCACCCCAGAGACATCCATAAGATGGATGACAACAGCTCTGTTGCTAGCTTCGAAGAGGTTGGCCCCTCTGGTATAGCTATTAGGCTAGGTGATGATAAGAATATTGAGAAACTCAGAGCCCTCGTTGTAAAATCAGTTGTCAATGATGGCGCAGCCACAGAGATCACCGAGGACAATGTTCCGGATATATGTTATGTACTCCAGTACAAGGCACTTGGTGGGAAGCTTGTTAATTGTAAGCCGTCTCAGCACCAGAGCTTATAACTAATTTTGCTGATAAAAATGGTAGTGCGTCGTAGTCGAGAACCTGTCGATATTAACCTGGATGACATTGACGGAGGGGGGGCTTCGACAAGAAAGCCTATCCTCGAGATCGTAACCGAAGTCACGACCTCCTTTAAGAAGAATAGACCGCAAGTTAACCATGTTGGCTTCGACTTTGACATGGATGATGAGTATTCCTGTCGCCACGCTCGCGAACCAGAGCATGATGAAAATCCAAGGGTGGATATTGTCAGAGTTGAAAAGACATCTATGATCATCAATTCGATCCATCTAATCAATGCGCTGAGGGCTGTGGTGGAGTATTATCCCAATACGACCCTCCTCGGAGATATTGTTACTATTAATGCACCATATCACATGCTTGCCCATCACCAAGCAGCGCTTGCCCGTTATAAGATCAACCAACCAGAGACCCACGATGATGAATATGTCCTTACAACTGCTAAGCACATCGATGTACTACTTGGTTTTCTTGAGAAAACCTTGGGAGCCCAGATTCATGAAGAAGAGAAGAGACACAATAGCAAAGTGCCTCTAGCCACTTTCAACAACCTCTGGCTTATATTGAAGCCTGGAGATGTCGTTTATGCCAAACGCGACCGTCAGTGGACTCCTTTCATCATTTCCAATGTCATTGGCGGCTCATCCGTCAATGGTGGTAGTATTCCATATACTGTCCAGTGTTGGAATATTGCATATACCTCGGAAAGATTCTGCCGTACCATGCACGCGTTTAAAATCGACCCTTTCAATGGAGAAGAAGTTATTAAAAACCTTCCCGTTATTCCCGCTCGTTTCTTTCAGGGTGAAAATGACAATTTAACTCCCAAGGAAGTTATGGCCAAGCAAATTCTACTCGGAAAGAGAGTCTGGGAACTTTCAAAAGGACCAAATCATATGGCTTATAACGGGCTTCTAGTCGAAAAGGATCCTGGCTTTGACTGGGATTATCCAAGCGCTACAGGTTACTTGGAAAGTCGTGTTATTGTTGACAATGTCGGGTTCTCACACTACTCCTTTAATCATCCTGAAAGAAAGAACCGTCAGCTACGAACACACATTCCCCCACATTGTCTCCAGTCGCCGCCCAAAGACCAACTGCCTTATTTCGCCCCCAAATGCACCTGTAGTACTTGTGCTAAAGCAAATCCAAAGGATAATTTGAGCATATTTGCTAAATTCCACGATCTCGACCCAGCCAGCGACTCACCACCAGAGATCGACCTCTACTACATACTCTTGAGTAAGATTGTGTCAGGATTCATACTCCGGGATCGACGCTGGGGTCACTTCAACGTTGAGAATCTCCAATATGTCGAGTTTGACAAGGAAGCCTTCAAGTATCTTGTGTTAGATGACGAGGTAAAGCTTACGGTCCGGTCACTAATTGGTAGGTTTGCCAGTACCCATGGTCAGGTCAATCCATGGCCAAACGACTTCGTCAAGAACAAGGGTCAAGGCCGGATCTTCCTCCTCCACGGACCTCCAGGCGTAGGCAAGACTTGTACTGCCGAATGTGTTGCAGAGCTCACCCGCCGTCCTCTGCTGTCGCTCACGAGTGGTGACCTTAACATCGACCCTTATAATGTTAGTATTCAACGCTCCCCATTATTATATAAAAGGGTGTCATACCCGCGAGTTGCTCAAGGCAGTAGTTTATATGTTTCGCTCTATATCCACTTCCAGCAAAAAAGAAATCTGTCGCCATTCAAATATCTACTAACCCTAGATTGTGGATTAGGTAGAGAGGAGCCTCGATTATTTTTTGAAACTAGGTGAACGCTACGGTGCCATCATATTGATTGATGAAGCCGATGTGTACCTCGAGGCCCGACACACATTGGACATATCGAGGAACGAGCTAGTTTCAGTCTTCCTACGAGCACTTGAATACCACCGAGGAGTATTATTCCTAACCACAAATCGAGTACAGACGTTTGATTCGGCCTTCACGTCACGTATCCACGTAGCCTTGCACTACAAGCCACTAACGGATGCTGACCGGGAAAAGATCTGGCTCAATAGCTTTGAGCGACTTGAACACGATAGCAATGGTAAAGTACATATCAGCGTGGCGACGCGCGAGTACGCCTATGAGAGCAAAGGCGTGCAGAGCCTGCGTTGGAATGGCCGCGAGATTCGCAATGCGCTTCAGACAGCCACCGCGCTTGCGGAGACCGAGGCACTTGAGAATAATAAAGATAGAATCATAGTCACTGAAAAGCACCTAAGGGCTGTAGTTAAGATGAGTCGTGGCTTTAAGAGCTTCCTGCGCCAGCAGAATAAAAAGCGCAATGATGACGTCGAGAATGATGATGGAGAAGAGGAACTCGAGGGCGGCGGAAAAGACCCCGCTGTCCATGACAACTAGTTGATGACATCTTATCTATTTTTCTCTCAGCCATGTTTCTATGTTATTACTTTCAGGGTCGGTGGGAATCCGATATCAGACTGGAGTGACTTCTGATTTTTCACGGCTTCAAGCTTGATAGCTAGAAACCCCTTCATTCATCAAATGTTAAACGTAGCTATAGTTAGTATAACAGGCTTACCAGATAAAATATCTCAATAGCTCTTACATTCCAACTCTCGTGCATCGTACGTATCTACACCAATTTCAGTATCCTGTCCAAGACGCTCGGAGTATTAGCTCTGCGCGCGTGTTTCAACTACACAATTATCTAGCGTTATAGCATTCACATAAGTGCGGTTGCTAGCATCATGTCCCAAAAGAGTGTTACAGGTATATGACGCGAAGCGCCATTTCTAAATAACTATGGGCTCTCTTGACCAAGGCGGACCATAACCCAATGGATTTATAAGACGAAACGAACGAGCTTCTACTTCGAATCGCGGAGAGTCATCACTACTTCCACTATGAAATACTTACTGGTTTACTCCCCTTACATCTTCATGCCCGGAAGGTGGTCAAGCCCTATAACAAGTCAGTGCCTAAGCATTGTTCCTGGGATGATCCAAAACTTACATCCATCGGTTTCCTCGCCGACCATGTCAGGGACGGTGCACTGGTTGGCCACCGCCATGGTTTGCTTTGTGATGGAGCCGCAGCCATCGTAGAAGCATTCGGACTTGTTCATGGCGCGCTGCAACGAGTCGCCTTTCCAGCCGAACATGTAGTCGGCGTGAGTGCCATATCCACTGCTTCCTTCGAAACTCCACACGAATGGGTTGGGGGTCCCTGAAGGCCACATGCTGTTGAACTTGGTGGTGTCCCAAACGGTCTCGTAAGTTACTTGGGGCATCCGAACAGGGTGCGACGCCGGGCACGGTGGAGCATTAGTGAAGCCATCAGACCTGATGGTGTTATACATGTGGGACTGGTGGTCGGGACTGTCAAGGTTCTTGCCATCCCAGCATCTAATCATGGTTATTATAAGCATGTGTTTCGGGATAGTGAGTTACTGACGCTGGGAAGTGGTGAACAGCGAAGATACCGCCCGGGCAGGGCCTATCGGGGAAGTCCACCATCTCCGGACCTCTGTTGAGGGTGGTCTGTAGGCAATTGTATCGCAGACCAATGTGGCCCTTAGCCTGATCGAGGGTGTCTGTTGTCGGGCTGCCAACCGTCATACGGAAACCCTAGAAAATATTAAAATCCCAGCCCGTAACATGACATCCAGGATACTCACCGGCTTGAAAGCCGTGATGGGCTGGTTCCTCAAATTGTCGGTGGTGAAATCGTACGGTGTATAGTAAATAGTCATGCCACCCTTAGTACCAGGTGCCAGAGCAGCATTGTTGGTCACCGGAACTCGGTGATAGCTACCATTGGTCGGGTGCTTAAAGTATAACACCGCAGTCCAGTAGTTTGAGAAGTCCTCGGACATCTCGCATGTGGTGCAGGTAGCCCTCGCGCCAACATCACCAGTCATCGTGGCGTTGAAGGCATTTCCGCCTACGATGTGGTGGACATGGGCTGAGGGGTTGTTGCCAGGCTCGACAACAGGGTCGAGACGTTGGGTGGTCAATGATGAGCATCCAAAACGCAGACCAGCCTGGACTGGCGCAGCGAGCGCGAGTGCGATGGAGAGCGACTTCATCTCGACGGCGGATTTGTCTCGGCAGTAGAGGCGTGCAGAAGTAGGCGAAGCAAACGAAGCAGGTCTCAAAGCCTGGTGTCCGGTTAGCTCTTATAAGTGCGGTCTTGTACTTGAAGACTTGTGAAATCTCATGTATGGCCACTTATCTATCTGCCCGCTTAACATGACCAAAACTAATATATTCCTATACATGCTGCATGTCGCGGTAGTTGAGAGGCTACATTGCAATAGAGGCAAAGTGGTACAGATCGTCCCCATGGGGGAACCATGTCTCATCCGCATTACTATAATTATTTTGCCGGTGACATGGGTATTTAATTTGCACATGGAATAGGTGGCAAGTAAGATTCTTTCCCAACCCGGCAAATATAACAAGTGGATTCTTTGTCGCCGGCAAAAGTCCTCACATATCGCCTATCACTCCCTCTGCACATATGCGTAGACGAGCACAGTTGCCGCCAAAAGCTTAAATTGCTTTACATCACGCTACATCTTAGACAGTTTGTAAATTACTCGACGAATTACAGGAGGAAGACGCACATTAATATTTTCAAGGTGAGGACATAAACATTGGTAAGCAGGATAAAGCTAGGGGTCCAAGATGCACCCTGTACCGGTTAACCCAGTCACAAGCGAGGAGAGTATTTGAAATAGTGAAAAGTATAATAGTGAAATTAAGGAAAAAGAGATAATATGTAGAGTATGGACTAATGGATAGTATTAGCATATTAAAGAAAGACACGCACCATTACGGTACTTCATGTCGCTCCTAACGAAACTTGATAATAGGACTTGTCACTTCAATGAGGACCACATTCGGTGCCAGTATGGCTGCCAGATAATCCTTTTATGGGCAATGTTATTGAATAAATGACAAATCAATTGCAATTATTATAGATAAGTTTCACTTAGGACTACTTCTCTTTGGCTTAATATGAAGACATCTGGGGAGCAACTTGAGACATCAAATACCTACCTACCAATAAGTGACCACTACAGCCAAATACTGCCAATCCCATCTTCTATGATACTATATCGCCTTGATGTCCAAAGCCCTTAAGGACTTGATAAAAGCAACTGCTATAGTTTAATTCGATGAGGTAAGTTCGATGATTTGTAAAAGTTCCTTAAAGGGATTTCACGTATTATACATGATCCTTAACTAGATTCCTTTGTATTATTATAAAACGGAAAAGCTGTTGTGTAATTTTAAGCTATATCATGTTAGAAACCAGTTAACCGGTCAATGAAATCTTTAAAAAGTTATTGATTTAACGTGTAAATTTTGATTTTATAATATACTGTTGTTTTGTCCACTTTATTATTGGTCATTTTTAACCAAAGACCCACTGAAACGACTATTTTACAGTGTAGCTGAATATATAATTCAAATTAGTGGGGTAAATAACTATCAATTAGGAGGACCGGTAGCTCAGCGGTAGAGCGTGGGATTGCAGTTCCAGCAATCATCCTAAGGTCACGCGTTCGATCCGCGTTCGGTCCTTGGAAAGTGATTTCATTTTTTGTTTTTTCTTTTTTAAAAGAGGTTTTCTTTTTTTTTTTTTTACTTTAAACAATTTTTTTTAAATTTAATTTTTTTCACATTTATAAATTTATGTTTATATGTTTTAAATATAATTATATTATTAGTTAAAGTGAAATATTTAAAATAATAAAAGTAATTAAGTTTAAATGTTTATATTATATGTAATGCAATTTGTCGAACGTCGCTCCCTCCAGGCGTTATGCACTAGTTTAAGCAACTTGTCCGGCAAGATTAAAGACTCGATCCGAAATACTCCTAAACGAGTAGTATTTTTCAATTAATGCTCGACGCCCGGCGGGCGCGACATTCGATGAACAACGCTAAATCTTCCGACGCTATTCCCTTTTGCTATTGAGGGCAAACTAGGTTAATTGATTATCTAAAATGTTTCTTCTACTATTCATTATATTCATTAGGTAGGTATATACCAGACAAGTATTCTGTCCTGCGTATTCATCTCCTTAATATCTAAGCAATGGGGCATTTATTTTACTTATACCAAAACAAATCAAGTTGCCCGTGTAATAATTATTACTTATACATAGTAAATACAAATCCTTACGAATAGCAGTAGTTGTCAATTCAATCTTGGTATATCTGCACGCGCATATAGGTACAAATATGGAAACTTTCATTTTAAAAAATGAATAAGGTCAGGTTCTCCTATGCAACGCTAGCTCTCCACTTCCGGAGAAGTGCTTAAAGAGACTGCGGAACCGCACAATCCGGTAACATACCTGGATAAACTTGGTAAACCCGTATCGAGGTATAATTTTACATATAACTCCAAGTATTCTCTTGTCCGACGTTTCCTTTTGGTTTACATATATCTAGAAAATCAGTTAGCCTCGTGTTACCCACATCAACTATATAGTCTGTATCATGAAGGGCACTGCTGTTATCAGATGGACACTCCTGGGCTGGGCTGCCGCTCAACGCAGCCCCGGAGAGTCTAATGCTATCGTTTCATGTGAAGGCGACTTTCAGCCGATTTCTGCTAATAACTTTATATCCGCCATGAACCCAGGCTGGAACCTCGGGAATACGATGGACGCAGTTCCGAATGAGGGTAGTTGGAACAATCCACCTGTGATCGCGTCAACTTTTGACGACGTCAAAGCCGCCGGATTCAAGAGCGTGAGAATCCCAGGTAAGAGCCCTATAATCATATACAGTGACAGTATACATGAGACTAAACGGACTATTAGTGACATATGCGGACCATTTCACGGGGAAATCTCCTGACTGGACGATTGACCCAGCATGGCTTAAGCGAGTCTCCGAGGTAGTGGATATGGCTTTGGACAGAGACTTATATGTGATCACGAATATTCACCACGGTATGTATAGCGATATGGAAGATATTCTTAGTGGCTTACGTCGGACTAGACTCTTGGGAATGGGCTGATGTAACAGCACCCGAAGCTAATGTTACAATGATTGAGGAGAAGATATACAGTGCCTGGCTCCAAATCGGGGAAACACTTGGATGCAGATCTTCCAGGCTGGCTTTTGAACCAATCAACGAACCCCCGACGAATTCGGCTGAAGATGGGTCCAAAATAAATAGAATGAACGAGCTGTTTCTAAAGGCCCTTGCCGACTCCGGAGGATTTAATACACAACGTGTTGTCACATTGGTTGGAGGTAGTATGGATAGCATTAAAACTTCAAACTGGTTTAAGGCTCCGGCTGGATATTCCAATCCTTGGGCTATTCAATATCACTATTATGGTCCTTGTAAGTAAAATCCTCGGGGCTATAGCACTAAAACTAATTATTAGTTTAGATGACTTCATATTCCAAGCTTGGTGGGTGAGAGGGAAGACGATTGTTGGCCTATGCCACTAACCTGTTTCTATAGGGGCAAAACTATATGGGGATCCGACGCAGACAAGGAGAGTCTTGAAGCTGACTTCGCAAACATCCGAGGAAATTTCACCGACGTGCCACTGGTTATTGGCGAGTTTGAGGCTAACACATTATTGGAACCAGCTGCAAGAAGGAAGTATAATGACTTTGTAGCACGAACTGCTCGAAAATATAACACATCCATTATTCTCTGGGATAACGGCGATGGCGCTTTAGATCGTGCCACCCATACTTGGCGTGACCCTTATGTCATTGACATTATCAACAACGCCGTACAAGGGGTGTCGAACAGCTTATCGGATTCAACAACTGACGGGTCTGCTAAAGAACAATCTAGTTCTGCTTATATATTTCATAAAGCAGGCGAGGATGTTACGGATCAAACCGTAAAATTTATATTGAATGGAAACAATATCAAATCCATCCAGACATCAGATGGGAAAGTCCTCACGGCTTCGAGAGACTACTCCATGGTGAACGACGCTGTTACAATAAGAAAGGCTTTCTTATCGGAGTATTTGTCCCCGACAGCCGATCCAGGAAGCAAGGCAAATATCACTGTATCGTTCTCCGCTGGTGCAGAGGCAACTGTCGAGATTGTCCAATGGGACCTACCTATATTAGGATCAACCACTTCACAGGCCGTGTCAGGGTCTGATATCCGAATTCCCATCACTTGGAGAGGACTATACAAGCTAGCTGCCGTGAAGATGTTACGAGACGACGGTGTTTACTTATTCGATGACTGGACGCAATATTTGGGCCCTCTTCAGCAGGCTAGAGGGGTGAGAGCATTTAAACTTCTATTAAATACGAAGATGTTACAAAGCTAATGATTACTAGACTTATAACAGCCACTGGGACAGAGACGGTTCACACGTCATGTTGAAAGAAGCTGTAATTTCACAGGTTATTACAAGCAAAGTATCCACAACTTTTACATTTGAATTGTATCCAAGAGTGGAAGGAAATACTGTTAATTATACGTTAACAATATAAAATAAAACTTTCCCCGAATTTACAACCGGTTTTATTTTAAGTAACTTTAAATTAACAATTTGAAAATTACTTTAAAAAAAACCTTTTTTTATACCACTTTTTAATTAATTACATTTTATTATTTTTTTTAAAAAATATTTTTAAAATAAAATTTTAAAATAATATAAATAATATTTAAAAAAATTATTAAAATTTTTATTATTTATTTTATTTGCGATTAATTTTTTTATAATTATTTTTAATTATAAATATATTAAAATAATAAAACAATATAAATTTTATTAATTCATATGTTAATTAATTTTTTATAATAAATTTTTAATTTGTTTATATAAAATAAAATAAAATAAATTAAATATAACAAATAATAAATAATTGTATTTAAATAAAACACTTTTATTTTTATAATATAAATATTAACTTAATATAAATTTTTAATATAAAGTTATTTAAATATATATAAATGGTAAAAATGGTGGTAATTTTTAAAATAACATATATATTTAATTAAAATAAAAGTAATAATATAAATTATATATATTAACTTATAAAATTAAATAAATTATAAAAATTAATAAATTAAAATATAATATAAATAATTAAATAAAAAAGTTAATAAAAATATATTAATTATATAAAATATATTAATAAACCATTGATAATAAAACGAAGATATATCAATAGTAATAATTATTATAATTATTATAAATTTTATTGTTTTATTTTATAAATTATTTATTATTTGTTAAAAATATTTTTTATATTTAAATTTTTAAAAATTATTATAAAAAATTAATAAAAAAATAAAAAATAATTAATAAATGATTAATAAAAAATTAAGAAATACTTTTTTAATAAATGATAGAAAATTAATAAATTAATAAAAAAATAATTAATTAAAATTTATTAAAATATTTAATTTATTAAAATATTTAAATATTTCCAACAAATTTTATTATATAAATTTGTAAATACATGAAAATACTTGTATAAACTTGCAAATATATACATTTTGTTAAATTTTAAATAATATTATAAAATTTATTATATATATAAATTTAAAAGTTTTTTATAAAATAAAAAATATTAATTAATTTAAAATTTTTAATAAAAAATATGAAATATTTAACTTAAATATATTATTAAATATTAAAAAATAATAAAAATCATAAAAATAAAATATAAATATAATTTATAAAAATCAATTTAAATATATATTAAAATTTAAATATATAAATGTAATTTAAAATTAAATTTATTATTTAATATAAAATTGTAAAATATAATAAAACAAGTTAAATATAACTGGCAAACGCCGCTTATTATAGCCAATTATTAGCTTATGTAATTAACTTTAAACTTAGTTATAAATTACTGGTAAACCTTCGGCTTGCCAGTATATTTATCTTAAAAAAATCAACTCATTATAACTTTATCAAAAAATGGCCTACCAATAACAAATAACAAATATTAATATTTAATTAAAAGCTTTTTATTTTAAAATATTTAATAAAAATTATATTATTGTTAAAATTTTTATAAAAATTATAATATTATTATAAATTAATTAAAAAAATATTTATTATAAAAATATATTAAAAAGAAATTTATTATTAATTATTTTAAAAAAATTAAAAAAATTATAACGTAAAATTATTATTATTTATAAAAGTATTTTTTTAATAAAAATAATAATAATTATATTAATATAATTTATTAATTTTAATTTATATATTTTAAAACTATATATAATATATATATATTAAATATTATTTAAACAATTAAATTTATTAATTAAATTGAAAAAAAATTAATATATTTTAAAAAATTAAAATAAATATAATTAATAAAATTATAATAAATAAAATTATAATTATTATATAAAAAAAACTAATATTATTTAAATTATAATTTTCATTTTTAATAATATTATAATAAATAATATAATAAATTTTTTTTTTAATATATTAATAATAAAATACTTTTAATAAATTAAAAAAAAAGATTATTTAAATTTTAAAATAAAACTTTTAATTTTAATATATAAAAATTAAAAAATATATTTAAAATGTTTTTTTAAAATAAAATATATTATTATTTATTTTAATGTGTTAAAATTAAAATTCGAGGAGCGGGTTTCGCCCGTTTTCGCCTCTTTTTTTATTAGCGTTATAAGCGCCATAAAACCCTTGGTTTATATGTTTGTATTTATGGGTTATAAAAAAGGCGTTTTTCGAATTTTAATTTTAGTTAATTTCGTATAATATAAAATAAACCGGTATACGTTTAAACTTTTAATTAAATTTTTAATAAAATTATATTAATAATAATATAATAAATAATAATAACGTTTAAAATACCTTTTATTTTAATTATTTAAAGTTAGTTTTTTACTTTTGTTATTTTTTTGTTTTTTTTTACATATTTATACGACATTACGTTATAATATCGTAAGTTTTAACGTTTAAATATATGATAATTTTAAAACTTTATATTTACGCGTTTATATTTACGCGTTTATATTTACGCGTTTATATTTACGCGTTTATATTTACGCGTTTATATTTACGCGTTTATATTTACGCGTTTATATTTACGCGTTTATATTTACGCGTTTATATTTACAACTATTTATAACTATTTAAAATTATATTTAAAATACTTTTTATTTTAATCATTTAAAGTTAATTTTTTACTTTTGTTACTTTTTTAATTTTTTTGTATGTTTATATAATATTACGTTGTAATATTGTAAGTTTTAATGTTTAAATAGTTTTAAAACGTTATATTTATGCGTTTATACCTATAATTACGTTTAAAATACCTTTTATTTTTAATTTAAAGTTATTTATTTAATTATTTAAACCTTTTAACTTTTTTTATATATTTATAAAACATTGCGTTATAATATTATAAGTTTTAATATGTTTATTATAATTATTACATACGATTAATATTATAGTTAATTTTGACTTAAAACGCGTACGTTTTATATATAATAATTAACTTATTTAAATAATTAAATTAATATTTATTTTATATATAAAAATTTTATTTATTATATTTTCAATTAATTTAAATATTATTAATATGGCCGTTTAAATGAAAAATGTTTAAAATTACTTTAAACTAAAGATTTAAAAATGGTTTAAAAAGGTGTGCTAAAGTGTAATTAATTGGAAAAAAGTGTGGTTAAAAAAGTACATTTTTTTAAACCATTTTTAAATTTTTAATTTAAACTAATTAAAATAAATTATTATAATATATTTTTATTATTTTATAAACAATTTATTTAAATAATAAAAAATTATAATTTATAATATAATTACAATGTTATTAAAAATTGAAAAAATAAAAAAAATAATTAAAATTTAAAAAAATGTATGTATTTATAAGTTTACGTAAACGTTTTTACGTATTTATAAACTTATATGGTAAAATTTGTTAAAAATATTTAATCTTTTATTAATTTTAAAAATTTAAACGTAAAATATATTTTTAATAAATAAATTTAATTAATAATTAATAAAATAAATTAAATATATTTATTAAATATAAAAAATTAAAAATTAATTAATATATTTTTTATATAAAATATATAATAAAAGTATATTAAAAAATTAATATTTTTAATTATTTATATTTTATTATATTAAAAATAATTGATAATAAATAAAAAAATTATATTATAATAAATTTATAATTTTTTAATAAATATATATTTTTTAATATATATTAAACTTAATATAATCTTTAATTAAATATTTTAAAATTAATATTTTATTTATTTTTATATATAATAATCTAACTTTTTATTTTTATAAAATAAAAGATTTTTAATTATATATAATTATTTATTATTTATTATATTTAATTTAATTTCATTTATTTTATTTATATTTTATATTAAAAAAATTTGTTAATAAAATAAAAAATTAATAATATTTTATAATTATAAATAATTTTAATTTTTTTTTAAATTTTTTATAATAAAATAATATAAAATTTTATTAATATATATATTAATA